AAAAATATGATAAACGTATTTTTCCTTTTAATGAGTCTTTTGTGACGCTAACTCGAATTAATTAGGACCCAATGCGAATACTAAAATAGGGGTTGAAACTAAAAAAAAAGAGATTATACATAGAGGCGTACATGATTGCTTATCAAACTTAGAAGTGGCAATGATGTACTTCCAAACACTATATGTTAATTTGGCAAGCGAAGAGTTTAAATGTCTAATTAATACATAAATTCGATTGACTTTTGTAAACAAGAAAAAAATATTAAGATCCTACCCTTGACTAACCAATAATTGAGTTGAGGGTCACTAAGTACAAGTGCTTTTCTTCAAGTACTTTAATTTAAATATTGAAAATTGAATGCAGTTATGCAAGGCACGTAATATTGCAATCGATCAAAATCGAATCGAAACCGTTAATCAAACCGAACTGATGATTTATTGATATTGGATATCGGGATAATGGATGGTGAACGGATTAAGATTTAGTTTAGCCGATAAATAACCCGATAATAGTTAATCCGATACCAATTCGCCCATTGTATTATTGGATGGGTAGCGAATTATTACATTTATAATCCGATAACCGATAAATCAAATCGTTAAGTGTAACTATCCGCCCGATAAACACCCCAACCTAACATGACTTTTTTTCAACGCTGCACGTGACACTCACATGCAAAATGGGAGAGTAGTTGCAGGTATCCAACTACTCACGGAGTTTCCAAAACGTGGGTGGGTCCCGGAGGAACATGCAAGTGGACCCCATTTAAAACCATTTTTGAAATTAATTATTAGGGGACAAAATAGAAGGATGCAAACTTGGAATTGGAAAGTACAAGAAATGGAAAAAGAAAAAATTAAGGAGGAAAGTATAGGAGAATCACAACTATTGACAAGAAATTTTTTATTTCTTTTACAAAAGGGCACAATGATCTTCACGTAAAATCTTGCATAAATTATAATTTGATTGTTATAAATGAAATAATTTTCTTCTTAACTAATGTAATATTTGATTGATTATTTGATTAAATATTTCCCCATTTATGTATTATAAGGTTTAATTGCCGGCATGACTAATTTGATACTTATATAAGTACTCTAGTTAGAATATGAAAGAAGAGCATATAATTAATAATGAGTGAATAAAATATTTAAAAATACCTTTAAATTAGGTATTTCTTACATAATATTTTTTTATAATTATTAATGACTAGAATTTCTTAGGATATTAGTTCTTATGTTATTATTCATCAATTAACGACTTATATATTGTTATTCACTACAAAATTAATCTCCTGAATAATTAGCACACGAACTAAGCAACCTCTATATGTTGTAGGTCTATTTTGTAAATGCTACACTACACTCTACACATGTGCCTTAGTCCAAAAAACTTTGTGACCTCAATTTCGATTTCTTAATTAAAAGTCTTTGACCCCCTAATTCAAACTTTTCCGGAAAAAGAAAGAAAAAGGGAAATTATAAATTCTCATATCTTGACAATTTGAGGGATCACAAAAATTCACAAGATTATCGCCGCCACGTGCGGTGTCGGAGAGTCAAAGATTTTGAAAAATATTATTCAAAACAAAATAACACGTGTCATATAATTATTGGCTATATGACGTGTGATATGTAGCCTATGGGAACAACGACACATTGGTGTAGTCGCCCGGCCCGTTACGTAAGCGGCCCGCATCCTATTAAAAGACGTAAGTATTCTTGTACTTGGTTTTATTTCCAGTCATATCCTAACCATGTGAAGATTCTAACAACGAACAAGATAGGTAATGTTCATTTTCATGCAAACGTTCAGTGTACTTTAACTTGTCGTCTAGTAGTCATTTGGATTATTCAAATTAATTTTATCTAAAAAATAACACGAGTAGTTAATCTGTCATTATTATTTATAATTTAAATAAAAGAAAATAACGTTATGATGATCTTTTAATTTGCTTCTTCTTTGTAAATCGCATGTACTATCTCTTTATTCTGTAAAAAATGTCATATAACTAAAATCACATATGCAATGGTCAATAATACAAAATCTCCCAGACCATGATTATTAAGTAGTTAACTATAAGAACTTTAAGTACAAAAATGAAGAATAAAAAACTAACTAATTTCATTAAAATGAGATTTAAAGTAGTAAGGTAATGTATAAAGTAGAATAACTTAAAAGATTAACTAAATACGTAAATGAATTTCTTTGTTGGGAATAAAATGGAATGAATGCAATTTTATTTTATTTTCCTTAAGATGAAAGTCATTGATTTCATTTCCGAATTCTAAACACCTTTTCAAAAGTTTGCCTTTTCATTTTTTTTTAATGTTTTGAATTCAATGTACATATATAATTCGCTTTTCGGATTGTTTCATCAATACAAATTCATGCCAAGAAAGATATACATTTCTCTCGAGAGCTAAATTTCACCAGCATTTATGAATAATAGATATATGAGAATGTTAAAATTTGCCAAAAGATTTTATTCCTTAACCGTGTTATTTTTGACATATTTATATGAATCCATTTCTTGTCCACGAGCAGAGGCGCATCCAAGTTAAAGGATATGCGTTCACGTGAACTCATACTGCTCTCCCTAAACCATATATAACAATATTATATTTTTTTAAAATTATTTAAAAATATGCGGGTCATGAAGCCATGTTCAAAGACTATTATGGTACAACTATTATGGGTGCACCTCTACAAATGAAATTGGCAGTTCAAATCTCACTCTGAACGGTCTTATTTCGGCAAGGAGTATAAATATATATGTGAAAATTACTAAAATTTCAAAAAAAAAAAAATGAACCTATAATGTTAAAAGTGTAGTGAGTCATGGTAAGAGACTAAAGTTAAATCAATCAAATATGAATTTTAGATCCACTTCTTCATAATAGTGCACACATCTTTTTGAAATCCTAGATCCGCAACTGTTCATGAGTCATGTATTCTTTTCAATTATATAAATATTCAAGCTTTGAATATCAAAAGATCATAAAGAACGTAAATTTTCTGATAGTGGAAGTATCTAATATGCAATTTTGATAGTATATATGTTTATAAATGCCAACATTCTTATCTAAATTGGCCAGCATTCTAGGAAAAACAAAAAGAAGTTGTGCCCAAGCATTTTCAATTTTGGAATCATATAAATAATTATTAAAAAAAAACTAACATTGTACTTCAGATTGCTTTCAATGATCACCCAATTGATCTATCCTCATTTAATATATTAAGGGATATTTTTTGGAATCGCAAAAATGTCATAAATTTACTTTTATTTAGCATAAATTTAGCAACAAAAACACTATACATAAAAATCAATCATAACTATTCGAACATTATCAACATTTAAAATACAAAAAAAAATGAATAACTTCATACCTAAGGAGGCATATTTTGTTCTAAATTATAAACAATAACCATAAGAATAATAAGTGACAAAACTTTAATTTAAAAACGTATGAAAAAAATTATTCTGGTCAAATAGTTTGAGTGAACATAACGGCAAAGTCACTGTTTCTCCTATCATTTGACATAAATGTGCATATAGTACCAAATTACAATAAATTCAGACTCTAAAAAAGATTAGATTTACTTCAACATTCAAATTAAACAATAAGATTAACTTCACAGTTACATGCAAAACAAAAAATCAGTTATCAAATAACTCCAAGGTCACATAAATATTCTTTTCCAACTTTTAGCTCCATATAACAATAATAACAACATAAGAAAACTTCTTTGAAATGGCCATCCAATTAGCATATCCTAATTAAAAAACAAAAATTAAGGGAAAACTAATTTTACTTTCTTTATTTGTGTGGTTACGAAGTAGTTTGTTTTCCAAAGAAATTGAATATAATGGGCAAAAATCTAGAGTAGAAGATCATTTCTTGCAAAGGGAAAGGAAAATTAGAAAAAACTAAATAAAAAGCCAAAAATAAAAGGAGTAAATGATACTCAATGGTATTTACACTCTTTGACCTATTTTATGTGACGATGTTCTGTTGGTACAAAATTAAAGAAAAAAAATTTAAACTTGTGATCATCTTATTAAGAATAAAATGATAATATAACGTTACATTATTTCTAATAAAAGTTATAATTATGATTGAAAAAGACTAAAATCTCAGAGTAGCACATAAAATGATATAAGGAGAGTAATATTTTTCAAATGTGTTATTTTTTTCCTCACTTTGCATGTACATTTAAGACATATATTTATGATTAACAATATATAATTTAATAAGACCTCTAGCAATTTTTTTGAAAGTTTTTTTTTTTTTTTTTTTTTTTTTTAAAATTTTTTTTTTTTTTTTTTTTTTTTGTGTATAAGTTACTCTATGGTTACAAGTTCAATTTATCACCAATAAAGATTGTGGTAGAGTGATAAGTATTCCTTCATCCGTAATCAGATGTTTCGAGTTTGAGCCTTGAGTATGAAGTCGATTTTGTTAGGGAGTGTTTTACCTTCAATGTGAAACTTTCAATAAAAATCGAAATTTAATCGAGTTTTAATGCAGATATCGGACACAACATAAAAAATAAAAATAAATTCAATTTATCACCTGCCAGTCTCTCACATTCCGAAACAAAAAAACGTGACATCCTCTAATTAGTAATTACCATTCGAAAAGAAAAACCTAAATTGTGGGTGTTTGGACATAAGAATTGTAAAATATCGGAAAAAGTGAATTTTGTTTTCAAGTGGAAATGATATATGAAAATTAGAGTTGTATTTTTAAATTTTTGTGAGTGATTTAAAGTAAAAAATTTTAAAAAATAAATTTTTAAAGTTTTTTAAAAATTTTCGAAATTAAACTTCAAGTGAAAATTGAAAATGTCACGCCAGAAACTTATTTCGAAAAAAAATGCAATTTTATTTTGAAAAAAGTAAAAAATTTCTTATTGCCAAACGGACCCTTTGATTTTTTATTTATTTGTTTAAACCTCAAAACTCTGTTGATAATAATAAATTCCCCGTAAAAAGAGAACATATCTCTGTCTCTCTCTTTAATCTTTCGCCACCCACCCACTTACTATTTCCTTTTTCTCTCTCAAAAACAAAACAAAACCAAACCAAACCTATAACCACAAACCCTTGTTTCACTTTCTCTTCTCTGTTTATTTTCCTGGAAAATGAAAATGGAGGCTTTGGACCCAAGTGCTGCTGCATGTTTTATGGTGGATGTAGATGATGACCTTCTCAACTTCTCTTTGGAAGATGAAACAGTTTTACAAGATGATGATGAAAAAACAACAAATTCCATTACCAAATACAAACACCCTTTCTCTTCTTCTTCTTCTTCTTTTTCCTCAAACCCTGTTCTTAGCCTTCTTCCCTCCCAACAACACCCTGTAAGTCTTAATACAAATTTCATTTCACTGTTTTTTTTTCCTTTTCTCTTCTCTTTTGGCCTTGAAAAGGGCTCTGGGTTCCGAGTTTTGGCTTGACTCGGTGTAACCCGGGGGTGTTCTTTGGCCAGAAACGTTGTGACTCGTTTTTTGGTGAGTCGACTCGGACGAGTTGACATATGCATTTGCTGTGTGTTACGTGTTTAAAACCTATTGGCTCGACTAATTCGAATACGTATTGGGTAAGTCCATTAAATTATTCTTAGGATTCGAACACGAGACTTTTAATTAAAGGTGAAATAATTTCGATTGTATCACCACCCTTTTATTGCATGGCTGTGTTTTAAGGGAGGCGACTGAGTCAAAACTGGTGGCTCGTCATTTGCCATTGAGTGGCATTTTGGTAAATAATAGTGGAAAAGGTGGGCAGTTTTAGAACCGGTTGTGGTGGAAACAAGAAAGTGGATTGACTGGCTCAAAGTAGGGAGGCGTTAGGAAAAATAAATTTTTGGACCATTTTGCCCTTGAAACCCTAACGCTACCAAAAAGAGTGCATGACATGGGGCTGGTGTTTGAGTAAAACAATTCCTTTGAATTTTAGATGTTGTTATTAAAATTTGGCATTTTTTTTGTGCTGAAAAAAAATATGAAAAGTTGTGTTTTTTTGGAAACTAAAATATGGGGGATATTTTAGGAATTTTGGAATATTTTCACAACATGTCTTTATGATTGGGCATTGGTTGTCACGATGTCTGAGCTGTTCAAATAAATGCACCATATCCGTTTCAACTTGTATTTCACAATCTTGAAAAGACACTTTTGTCCCTATCATCAATATTTATTTACCACAAATTTGTCCAAATTGCAAATTGTCCCACTTGAGAATTTTGACTTTTATTTTCTTTCTCTTGTATTGTTTACAATGTCTAAGCCTAGAAAACGACTAGATTCTCTCCTGGATATCTTTTCTTCCTTTTGATATAATGAAAACACTAAATTTTATCTTTTTTTAAACAAAATCTTAAAAGTTGAACATGAAAAAAAAATATATGAGTTAGAATAACTTTTTAAGCCTTAATGGAAATTCCTGTTACTTGTGCTAGTGGGAGGTAGCAGGTACCCAGTGAAATAGTCTGAGCTACGCACAAGCTAGCTCGAACACCATTGTTATCAAAAATAAAAACAAAAGCAAGAATAATTTTGGTAATTTGTTGGTTGCTGGCTCACTCAAGATTATTAACATGTTGCATTTTGCAGGAATGTGTTGAGGAAGAATTGGAATGGCTGTCAAACAAAGATGCATTTCCAGCAGTGGAGTTTGGCATACTTGCCGATAACCCAAGTATTGTATTTGATCACCATAGCCCGGTTTCAGTGCTGGAGAATAGTAGCAGCACCTGCAACAGCAGTGGCAATGGCAGCGCTAATGCAAACGCGTATATGAGCTGCTGTGCCAGCTTAAAAGTCCCAGTTAATTACCCCGTTCGTGCACGGAGCAAGAGAAGGCGTAGACGACGAAGAGGCAGCTTTGCTGACTTGCCAAGCGAGCATTGTATGTTGGTGAACAAACCGAGTTTCAAGATCGTTAAGCAACGTGAACCATTGCTTTCGTTACCGATGAATTCAGCTAAAAGTGCTTGTATCGGGAGGAGGTGCCAACACTGTGGAGCTGATAAGACCCCACAATGGCGGGCAGGTCCCCTGGGGCCGAAAACACTGTGTAATGCTTGTGGGGTCCGCTATAAGTCAGGCAGGTTGTTGCCAGAGTATCGCCCGGCAAACAGCCCTACTTTCTCGCCGACTGTGCATTCCAATTCTCACCGGAAGGTTTTGGAGATGAGAAAGCAGAAGATAGGAGTGGGAGGAATGATGATTCATGAAGCTTGTGGATATAGTGTAGGATAGGATTGAGTCGTCGTCTACAGCATCTTTTTGGCCATTTTTCTTCTTTTACCATAGTTAGCATAGACTCTAGGTTTGTTTGTAATGGTCTAGATTGTTAGTGAACCAATATTTGTTTTGGTTTTCCATCAAAATCCACTAGGAATTTTGAACTTAGTGTGTTTGATTATGCTTTTAGACAGAATCCAGAAAGAAGAGTTCTTGACAAAGATGTCAGTTTTTTAATTCTACCTACTTACCTTTTCATTTGCATGGATTGGAAATGATACATTTTTGGTTTGTGACTGATCAAAAAGAAAAAAAGGAAAGAACAAAGAGTGTTGTTTGTGGTAGTTGGTCGAAAACTATTTTGCTACCACTGCTAACTAAGCAGTTTAACAGTTGCAGAAGCTGCAGAGATGGAAGTTTTGAAGGTCTAAGTGTTCCAATTATTTGAGGGGTTTGATCATTTTACTTTGGTTTGCTTCTTTATGTAATGAATGTCTTGTAATATGCTTCTTTTTGCCTATGAAGCATTCAGCCATATTGTTTACTTGTTAGAAGTAAAAAAGAGTGGAAATTGTACAATGTTCTTATTATAGTAGCTGTTGATCAGGCTATGGGATGAATAATTCTTTTTCTTCTATCTCAGAGGAATAAAGCAGGGAGCTTAACATAGTGACCATTTTTTTGACTAACTGGCTGGTATTTCTTGTTCCTCTTTCTCCTGAACTCTTACTTTCAATGCTAATATGAGCAGGAATGTGGACAATGAGTTTGTTCCCAGCAGTGTAATTTGTCACTTTATAAGTTTGCTAATACCAAGGGGAACATTAGAGCAACGGTAAAATTGTCTTCGTGTAACCTATAAGTTATAGGTTCGAGCCGTGGAAGCAACTACTAATACTTGCATCAGGGTAAGTTGTCTACATCACACCCTTGAGGTGCGGCTCTTTCCCAAAATATACGTGAACGCGAGATGCTTTGTGCATTGGGCTGCCTTTTTTATAAGTCTGCCAATCTGTATGGACGTTGTATGATTTTCTTGTAGGTTACCTTGTTAGACATTATGGATATTTGTAACCTTCAAATGTATTCTTGTTTGGACAAGATTTGACAATGTCTATTGCCTCCAGGACTTTGGTTCAGTGGTAAGAACGCATGGCATATGTGCTTTTGGTTCAGTGGTAAGAACGCATGGCATATGTGCTTTAGGTGCACGTCAGGGATTTGAACATGACCATAGAAAAAAGCTTGTTATTTGAGGGGAGAATGATAGAAGGGCTGACATATTATCCACCGAGTTTTACGTCAGGGATTTGAACATGACCATAGAAAAAAGCTTATTATTTGAGGGGAGAAAGATAGAAGGGCTGACATATTATCCACCGAGTTTTGAACCGTGCGCCAGCTGGCCCTCGGGATTCCTTGGTTATAAAAAAAAAGAAGGAATTTTGACAATGTCCACCAAATTGGATGGTCTGTATCTGAGTGAAAAGATCACCTCCTATTGAGTAGAAACAGCCCTGTGTTGTAGAACATAGACTTTCTTAACCTTTTTTTATCTGTTTATTAGCTCACTTATTAGGTAAGAGTAGAAGTGACAACACAAAGTAGTGGTATTATTTTCTATGCTTTTGCATATCAGTGACTTGGATCCTATTCTTTATAGTGATCATATCTGGCTTTTTCTTTGATCTTGATTGCTTAACATTTGCTTTAGTCACTTCCTGTAGATGACATAGAAGTTTTGTTGTGTTCTGGATTTATATAACCCTTCTTGTTTGTGAATCATCTATTTTATAGAAGATTTTTACAGATTTAGTCAAAGGTGGCTGCACTGATATATATTTATGAGTGGCTGCCATTTTCTTATGGTGTCACTAATGTGTGTGTTGTTTACTAATAATGCACTAGTTTATGGTTACATATAATGACAATAATGAGTGATTATAAGTTATTAGCTAACTAAGAAACAAGCTTATAGGCTTCCACCTATTGCAGAATTAAGCAATATGTTGAATATACCATATTGTCATTAGAAGAGTTTTGCTTGAATTAAGTTATTAAAAGTTGAACATAGTAAGCTATGTTCAATAATAGCTTTGCAGTCTGTAAAAATTATGTAGAAGTGAAGAGCAGATTCAGAGCTTTAGCTATGTTCTTCGGTTGAGAATATGATGTGAAATCTTTGTTTGATTGTTGTCACGACCCAATCTAGGACCTAAGGGGCTCTAAGCACGTCTTATTGAAATTTTATAGAGTTTTTTTTATTTTCAGAGCAATCTAAAATTTTCATATTTCAGTTCAATCACATGACACAACAAGCACTTGTCAAAGCAAATCACAATCATAAGTATCCAACTGTCGGTAACCCAATAATTGCCCAAAATACAATAAGAAAGGTTAATGGATACTCTGTTCGATTTTCTGCTAAATTCTGATATAACTTAGTTGGGGTGCTACCCCTAAGCACCGGTTACGATCCTATCCTAATTTGAGTTGCAACAATTGTGATGGGTCTAAGAGGTGAACATGAAGGACGCAACTCACAAAGAATATGTTTGCTAGGAATCACTAGTACCTTACTAGTTATAATACAAAGCGTATTTACAGACCCGTTATCTAGTACTTGTATTGGTGGGAGGTAGCAGGTACTTTGTGAAATTAGTTGAGGTGCGCGAAAGCTGATGAACATTACAGTTTAAAAAAAAAATACAAAGCATATTCACAGGCCGGTTCTTGTGGGTGTAGTTTTAACATTTTATATGGTTTTGGACGGTCCTTACTTCATGAGCTAACTTTTGGGATTGAGTTACACCTCATGTTCATTTATTTATTATGGTATCTGAGCCAGGCCTACCCAATTTATTGTTTACCCCGATGTTGGGCACCCATCTTATATGGTTTACGCTCCAGTTGCCAGGCTTGAGTGTGGGGGGAGTGTTGAGTGTTCCCACATCGATTGGATGAGTGGTTATTTGTCTCCTTATATGACCTTAGACAATTCTCATCTCATGAACTACTTTTTGGAGTTGAGTTAGGTCCAAGGTTCATTTATTTATTTTGGATGTGCAACACGCACCTCATGTATGTGTAAATTCTTTTTGTTGGATCTAATATATAAAAACATTTCTATTGATGGGAGACATTAAGACTCAAATTCAAAATCTCTACATGTTTCAAATACTATATTAAGTTGTATGAACTGACTTATCTAAAAATTTAAACAAGTTAGAGATGAAATATTTTATTTATTTCATAGGAAAGTGTTTGAAGTTATATGATTCTTTGGTTGGGCTAAGACAACCATACATATATCCCATGACTAAACTACAAAATTTTCTTATGTGCAGTGAATGTATGGGTCTATTTTATGTTTGTCCATATCCTCGGTTTCATTATAGGTGGCCAGATGCATTGAGTCATTGAGAGAATTAGTGAGACCAATGTCCCATTTTCACAAAAGAAAAACACAAAAAACTAGCTATCATATTTACAACATGTAGGGCATCACACAATCTTCTTGAAGATTTTCTTTTAAGTAAGCTTTTGGTTACTTATGGAGGGGATTTTTGGTTTAAAAGGGCAGTGCCCGGTGCATAAAGCATCACGTAGGGTTCGGGAAAAGGCCGTACCTCAAGGGGAGTGATGTATACAACCTACTCTAATGAAAATATTAGTGGTTGGTTTCATGGCTCGAATCCCTGACCTATAAGCCATATGGAGACAACTTTATTATAGTTTGAATCCCTGACCTATAGGCTATATGGAGACAACTTTACTATTGTAGGAGATTTCTGGTTAAATTTCTTAATTATTGGTGCGGCATAAATTATTGTCACAAATAAAATTTTGACATTACACTTTTGAAAATATTTTCGCAAACAGAGGAAAAGACTTAATTCCTTTTGGAGGCATATGCTATTTTCATTTGAAGTGTCTTCTCTTTATGCCACTTGCTTTAATCAACATGTAATTATCACAAATATATTATTTGAATAACCATAGGAAATCAGGATTTAAGTCCCAATAAAGACAAACAATATTAGATTTTTTTTAAATTTGTTTAGCGGCCAGAGTTATCCTGTAGTCGTGCTGATGAAAAATAATAGGCACACGCTGAAATAGTTGAGGTGCGCCACAAGATTACTTGAATACCTTATCTCTTACCTTCTGCTGCTACTATATGTGATGTACTTTTTTATCCGATCAAATGTTGAGAGATGGCTGAATACATGTAGAGACACTTAAATTGACACAAATTTTCATTTAGACACCTAAACTTATGGGTGTTCATATTCAACACTTATACTATTTGAAACTTGTTCCACTTAGACACTTCTTATTGAGTTGACACATAAAGTGAGTTTCACCCAATATAGGCGCGTGAAGAGCCCAAACACAGATTTTATCTTCTTTTTTTCCTTTTTATTTCTTTCTTCATTTTTCTTCTTCTTCTTTCTCTCCACCGTCACTTCCACCATTATTGTGCCTCCACCATTAATTTAGCTCGAAAGTTTGAACCAACAATCGTCCCAGTTGATTGAAGCCGAAGTGAGACCGTATTTTTTATTTGAAGTCAAAACCACTATTAATGGGGGTTTTAAAAACTTGAAGGTTTAAAATGAGTTACTTGATTTGATGAAAAATTGAGAAATTAATATTGGGGTTGTCTTCGGGTCTTCGTGGGGAATTTTTAGCTGAAGTTATAACAAACTTGGAGGAGTTTCTCTTGAAATTTTGGATTACAATCGTGGCTAGAACAAGAACACACATGAAGATAGTGAATAATACCACAAACAATGATTTCCGGAACACTAATGTGTCCTTTTTTTGTTTTTTGTTTTGTTAATAATGTGTCATTTTCTAATTGGGTGTAAATTAAAGTTTTTCTTTTCTTTTTGAGAATGTTATTTTATTTTGTTTACTAAATAGATTTTAAAATAGTTTTTTTTTTTTTTTAACTCAAAATGATATATGTCTTTTTTTTTTTTTGTCATTCGCCACATCAGCAGCGAGTTCATTGCACACACTTTATAAGTTTGGCTAATTGTCATAGAAGTGCCTAATTGAAACACGTTTCGGATAATATAAGTGCTCAATAGGAACACCCTTAAGTTTAGGTGTTTAAATGAAAAATTGCATCAACTTTAAGTGTTTCCACATGTATTCAGCCTTGGGAGTGATCTAACAAATAAATTTCACCAAGGTAGAATACGACAGTCATATTTTATTAAATTTTTTTATGTTTATACCAATCTCAC